CCTTTTTCCCAAACTAAATCAGCGGAAAGGAAGAGAAGCGAAATGGAAACCTTATGCATATATAGCAATAGGTGAGAAGAGAAGAGAAGAGATGCATGCCCTCAGTTAAACAGCTTAAATCGCGGTTGGCAATACTATAATAACAACAAAGAACACATAGTATTGTTTCCCAGTTAATTAGCGATTAACTTTCCAAAAAATACAAGCAACTACTCCCTCCCTTCTCAAATATTTGTCTTTCCGAACATTTCAAATAGAATACAACATACGGATGTATGTTGACATATTTTCGAGCGTAGATTCACACATTTTGCTTCGTATGTAGTCAATTGTTGAAATATTTAGAAAGACGAATATTTGGGAACAAAGGGAGTACATATTATTCAACCTTCCTTCTAAATTTGGCAGGTTATACTCATTCTTTGATTCTCACCCTATATAAATGTTATATGTTACAGGTCCTAACAAATGGAAGGACGCCGTCATGCCTCCACCGTGTTAGGACGCCGAGCAACCGCGAGCGCTTCTCGGTGGCTCTCCACTGCCGCCGAAAGGACGACGCCTTGGTGGCTCCAATGGCTGAGCTGGTCGACAGAGACCACCCTCTGATGTATAACCCTTGCATTGCCGGCGAGTACACCATATTTCGCTACTCCGAGGAAGGGGGCGACCACGGCGACCCACTCAAGGCTTTCTGCGGTGTCTGACTCCCTTGGCCGTTAATATAAGTTGGTACTGTGGCCTCATTTTCTGCGTATAAAACCATCCATGGTATGTGTTTCTTATATACACAGCTAGACCTTTTATACACTACAAATAATGTTGTTTTAGAGTTGGGACAGTCTCAAATCTGTAATAAATTACGAATGATGGTGCTACAGAAAACCATCCATGATGAATAAAATATAATGAGACCATTTTCCATGTATTGATAGCAAACATTGAAAAGTTTGCCTAAAGTGCGACAATACTTGAAGATGATTTGTCCTAAAGTAGAACACCCCCTTTACTTGAGTTCTTGACTGTGAAAGATCTGTAGAAACTCATGAACCTCACGGTGAATTCTGCCATGGTTTTGTAAGGGTCAGCTATTTCGGTAGACTACAGTTCAGAAGTGAACCGAACCAAAAACAATGAGCATGACGTTCAATCTCTATGAAGTATTGGATGGCTTCCCCTTCAGTAGTCCCCGTTTCAGGTGGTTCAATCACTTTTCTATGGCTCCCTTAAAGTATGTGCGGTCATGGCCTTCCACGGCAAAATGTTCTATACTGATATCCAAATTTGTGTCCCAAGATCTGTATTCACTGAGTTGTTCTTTCTGAAACTTGTGGCCTCCGCACATACATCAGCGTATACACATAGTAATCTAGATGTAAAGCAAGCAGGCAAAGAACACATACATCAGCGTATACACATAGTATAATCTAGTTGAGCAATCGAAACAAAAAATCACTGTGATTTTAGCAATAGTCGGTTACACAGGCATCCGAAGTGATATTTACGATTTTAGCAATAGTCGGTTACACAGACATCGGAAGTGATATTTAGGGACTTCTCTTTCCTAGTTAGAGGGATTACTATTTTGTACCCTCTCTGTCCCATAGTGTAGGACGTTTTTTGATACTAGTGAGTTAAAAAAAGTCCTAAACTATGGGACGGAGGAAGTGGCAACTACTCCCTCCGTCCCATAATATAAGAGCGTTTTTTACACTATATAGTGTAAAAAACGCTGTTATATTATGGACGGAGGGAGTAATAATTTCGACCAGAAGCAACTTAATAATGTCACCCTGATTAGTACTATTGGTTACTGACAATCTGCTTTCGCTCTCACTGGTTTCATCTTCCATTACACACATCCATTTCTTTATAACATTATGTTAAAAAAAAGATGAACAAGAACAAAGAGACCTTGCAACACTACTCATCAATCAGTGAGTGAGTGAGACTGTGGCCCAATTAGGACACAAGCAGAAGATAACCTGACAGGCCAAGAACGCATTCACAGGCCCAATAAGTATACTGAGGAGGTGGAACACACAGCACATTAACACGAACTCTACTCTCTGTCGGATGTGGCAAAGTTCCATTCTAGCTTCAGGTTCCACTCAGGATCTATCTGCATCAGCTGGTTGCCCACATCAGGGGTCGACGACAAACGAAATGCAGATCCACACATCTCTCCGTGACAGGATGCCCACATCTGCATCGATTTCACAAGGCAAAACAAAGACTTTGTAATGAGAGCTCCATCGACAAACATGTCACTGGTTTCAATCAGAGCAGTGCGTAGAATATCAGTTTCAGAGTTGGGCTTGGTGTCTCCTGATTTAGGGTAACTAACATCTATCAGATACCAGTTTTCAGAGCAACTATTTACTGAGCCGAAGGTCTGAATGGTCTAGCAACTGTTTTTAGGGTCCCTAGAAAGTAACCACGACAAGGTTGGTTCTAGTCTATGGATGATCTATCAACTTACTCAACTAAGGTTACACACAAGCGAAGCCTGTTTTCAGATAAAGGAATTACTTTCCCCAATAAAACTTATTGTTGTTTCCGTCCTTGATAGAAAACAAAATTCCCCTCGCAAATCCATTCAAAACAGAATTAACTTCAAAATTTATATCTATGCAAGTGCAGCATGCTGACATACTCTTGTACGCCATGCTCCCCTTGAATAAGTTGAAGTCATCAAGTGCAGAAAACAAGAAAAAGATAGTAACCAACCGTGGTGATCGCTGAAGATCACCATCATCTCGATTTGCTCTACATCTAGATGGTTTAGGGATTCTGAAAAGAAACAAAAAGAATATGTAGGCAAACTTACCGGATGGAAAACGGAACGGCAGCATTACCGCACAGACTGTCCATGTAATCCAGACAGCAACCTGATTTGAAATGTAACATAACTAGCTTGGTACTACTCTTGTGCGCACATAAGCTCCTTTCTTTCCTCTCTTTTTTCTTTTGCACTTTTGCTTGTTTTGGTTCAGTGAGGTACCAACGGCTTAATATTGTGAACTGTACATATTTAGAAATTCAGTGAGATATCAAAGAAGCTTGGAAGTAGTTACGATAAAATATGAGTAGAATGGAATTTATAAATATGTATCTGTGCTTCTAACAAGAATCCCTTAGCACATATACCTGACTGCACTTCTTTTCTGGTTGTCCACATTTTTTTAGCTCTGCAAACAGTATCGGTGCCATCGTCCCAGCGCCCCCTGTTTGTTTGTTGGTGGCAACCCAGACTCGCCTAACTTAGGACCTGTTCGGTATTCATCCACTCCTAGAATCTACGGAGCGGGCAAGCTGCAACTATGCCAATTTGAACTGCAGCTCCGCCAACTCCCGGAGCGGAGCTGTGGAGCGGAGCATTACAGAACGGCCCCTTAGCTATGCCATCCATAAGAACCAACCAAACAAGCCTTCCAAACTCGCCATCTTGCTACTATGAGTTAGTTACTGCATTTCGTATGGAACCAACAATGGAGTTTGCTACCTCTAACGCTGAGAATGGACAGAGGGGCAAGTTGGAGATGAAGACCAAGAACTCAAAGGGGCATCCAAAAAACTGATCTCTCAACTTCGAGTAGGACGATGAATTCAGTCTGTATATTCCATCATCACACAATGTACAGCATATATAGTGCTGGAGTGGTTACAAGAGAGCCCGAAGGAAGTGGCACGCAGGCCCGGGCGAGATCTATGATCCTATATACTAGGAATACAAGTACATACAGTTACACAGGTATAATACACGTTAACACCCCCCCTCAGCCGGAACTCCATGGGGAAGGATGTTGAGGCTGGTTCTGAACTCGTGGAAGACCTGTGATGGAAGCCCCTTGGTGAAGAGATCTGCAAACTGCGAGCTGGATGGTACGTGGAGAACACGAATGTCGCCGAGGGCCACGCGGTCACGTACAAAGTGCAGATCAATCTCGATATGTTTCGTGCGCTGATGTTGGACGGGATTAGATGCAATGTAGGAGGCCGAGACGTTGTCACAATAGACAATGGTGGCACGGGTCGGTGGGCGAGGAGCTCATGTAAGAGTTGTCGCAACCAACATGCCTCAGCAACACAGTTCGCGACGCCACGATACTCGGCCTCAGCGCTCGAACGAGAAACAGTGGCTTGCCGTTTGGATGACCAAGATAGCAAGTTGTGACCGAGAAAAACACAGAAGCCCGACGTGGACTTGCGTATGTCCGGGCATCCAGCCCAATCAGCATCGGTGTAGGCCACAAGATCGAGAGGAGAGGACTTGTACAACTGCAAGCCAAAGTGGGTGGTGCCACGAAGATACCGTAGAATGCGTTTGACAAGTGTCATGTGAGAATCACGAGGTGCATGCATGAATAAGCACACTTGTTGAACCGCATATGAGAGGTCCGGGCGAGTAAGAGTGAGGTATTGGAGGGCACCGGCCAGGCTACGGTATAGAGTGGGATTTTCGAGGAGGCAACCATCATGAGCGGAGAGTTTGGACTGTGTATCAATGGGAGTGGAAACGGGCTTGCAATTGAGCATCTTGGCGCGGGCGAGAACCTCAAGGGCATACTGCTGTTGGCAGAGAAATAAGCCATGGGTGTTGGGTGTGACGTTGATGCCAAGGAAATGATGAAGCTCTCCAAGGTCGGTCATGGAAAACTCACGTTTGAGAGAAGAAATTACGTGATGAAGAGCGCGGGGAGTGCTTGCGGTTAGTATGATGTCATCAACGTACACAAGGAGGTAGGCGATGGAGTCATCACGTTGCAAGATGAAGAGAGAGGTGTCGCTCTTGGATGCATGGAAACCAAGAGACAACAGGAAGGAGCGGAAGCGCTGGAACCAAGTGCGTGGTGCCTGCTTCAAGCCATAGAGGGACTTACGAAGGAGGCACACGTGGTCCGGCCGGGAGGAATCCACAGACCCAGCTGGTTGAGCACAGTATACCGTCTCCTTGAGATCGCCGTGGAGGAAAGCATTCTTGACGTCGAGCTGGTGAATAGGCCAAGAGCTGGAGGTGGCGATGCTGAGCACAACGCGAATGGTGGCCGGCTTGACAACCGGACTAAATGTCTCGTCATAGTCGACATCCTCCTTCTGATTGAACCCTCGAACCACCCATCGTGCCTTGTACCGAGCCAAAGTGCCATCGGTGTTGAATTTGTGGCGAAAGATCCACTTGCCAGTCACCACGTTAACACCTGCAGGTTTAGGAACCAACGTCCAAGTAGAATTCGCAATTAAAGCATCATATTCAACTAGCATGGCACGTTGCCAATTGGCATCTTTGAGCGCGGAACGGTACGTGGGGGGAATGGGAGATATAGTGGTGGTGGGTGTATGGGCGAGGAAGAGTCGTTTGGGTTGGCAGAAACCCGATTTGGACCTGGTATGCATTTTGTGTGCGTTGTGGGTTGGTTTTACTGGTTTGGCATGAGCTGGGAGATGTGGCTGCACGGGAGTGGAGGGCATGGAAGGAGAGGCGGATTGCGTGGGGCCAGGAGCAGGGCTGGCAGGCGAGAGATCCGAGGCGGATCCGGTCGCAGGGGAATCTGGCGTACGATCCGAGGCGTGGGGCGCGGGCGACCGGGTGGGCGCGAGGGCCGAGGATGCGCGTGGGGGCGTCGGTAGCGGGGAGGTGGGGGCGGGGGACCATTGGGTGGCAGAGGTGGGGTCGCTCGTGGGGGAGGGGTTGATCTGGCGCGAC